CTGGTGAGGTCAGACTGACCCAGGGCCAACCTGAGACATGTGCCCGGCTGCCTGGCCTCTGGAGTGGCCCCTGGGTCACCCTTCCTTGCTGGGTCTTGGAGCAGCCTCCCAGCGTCCTGGGACCAGCGGGGCGTGAACTTGACACACTCACCAGGGCTGGAGGGAGGTCAGTGGTTCAGCCAGCATCTGGAGCTCTGCTCCGGACTGCCCAGGAGGGTTGGGGTGGGCCCTGCTCGGCCCACTGTGGAGGCCCAGGAGGTGCACAGCTGGACTTGCTCTAAGCCCCCGCTGGGTGGGGGACAGCCAGGCCGGAGCCACACACCCGGCCCAGCTGGTCAACCTGGTGTGACCGCCACATCAGTCTGTGAGAGGTACAGGGCCGATGCTGGTGGTGGATCCCCGTAGAATGAGCTAGAAGGTGCCCCTGCCTGTTTCCTGGGAGTGGACTGGGTGCCCGCCCGCTCATGACTGTGCCCAGGGCTGCCCCCTTGAGCCCCGCGCGACCATGACGGTGACTGGGCTGCCCCTTGAGCCCATTGAGCCCATGATTGCAGCCCGTGGCTGCCCCTTTGCAGCTGCCCCACTGCCACGGGCCTCTGGAAGCCCACGCTGAGCTCCACTGGGTTACACGCTGAGCCCCACGTGCCCATGACTGTGGCGGGGGCTACCCCACGACCATGGCAAAGGCTGCTCCTTTCCTGGGCCAGGCTAAACTTCCATAGCCGAGTCACTTCCCAAGCCTGGCTGGGGCAGGTTCTGGTTTGGGGGCCATGGTGGGAAAGGGGTTCTGCTGCCTCCGGGGATACCCCTCACCCCTGGGGATACCCCTCACCCCTGGGCACCCGTGGGATCCTCCCCTGTGCTCACTGAGCTACTGCTGTGTGGAAGCCTAGCCGGGGGTGCGGCGGGCACCAGGTGCAGGGCCGCCGGCCCAGGGTGGGCCTGCAGCCCTCCCCCTCCGGGATGCACTTGAACCGGCCGCCTGCTTCTGTCAGTCATCCATTTCCCGCCGTGCCTGTCCGCACACGTGTGCCGCCTTTGTGTTCCTGGGGCGGGGGATGGGAGCGTGTGGCCTGGCTCGGCACGCCCCCTCCCCACCCCATCCCCTTTCCCTGTGAAAGTCAGAGCCGGCAGGGGTAGAAAGGAGAGCCGAGTCTCTCTCCTTTGTCCTCTGGGGTCCCGGGCGGCTTTGTTCCCTTTGACCCTGTAGTTGTTGGGGCTCCCCTGCGGGAGCCAGCTGCGGGCCCTCCCCACTGGCCCCAGCCCGCCTCGGTGGGGGGTCCTCGTGCTGCCGCCCCAGGGCTAGCTTTGATTGGCCACCCTTTCCTTTGCCCCCTGGGGTGGCCTTGGCGCTGAGAACTGGCCCGACCTGTTTGCGCAGGCTTCCTCACAGCAGCGTGTGTTGGGGGGTGTTTACCTGTGGGGCCACCTCCGGCTGCACTTCCACAAGCCAGCCCAGGAGCAGCGGGAACCCAGCGCCCTGCTCGGGACCCTGGGGAAGACACCCGCCCACCTGGGTGAATTTGCCTGGTCACGTGCCCAGGACGGGCACCCTGGGAACCCTTTTAAGTGTGTTATTTATTTGTATGAAAGGCAGAAAAAGAGGGGAAGAGCTTCCCTCTGCTTCACTCCCCAAATGACCACAACGGCCAGGGTGGGCCAGGCTGGCCTTGAGCCAGGAGCTCCAGCACAGTTCTGTGTGAGTAGCCGGGGGCCAGCACCTGGCCCTCCTCCGTGCCCGGGGAGATCCTGGGGTGGGTCGTCAGCTCCCCTAGACTCCGCGAGTGCCCCTTACTGCTGTGGAGAAGGGACTTGGGCACGCTCCAACGGGGGCGTTCCTGGAGGCCTGCTTGCTCACTGCGCCACGAATGGTGCAGCCCAAAGCTGGGCAGGCTGGGGCACTGCTGGCTGCCTGGGCATTGTCACCCAGGAGCCGGCCTGGAGCCCCTTCTTGGAGCCCCCAAGGAAGCCCAGCCCGACAGGCATCGCAGGCTCCGAGGAGCGGCCACCACAAGCAAGCATCCAAGTGAGGGCATGGGGCGAGTGGGGACAGATGCTGCTCAGGGTGCCTGGACCCTCTGTCCCAGAGCCTGGCTCAGGTCCCTGGGCTCCTGGACCCGTGTGGGAGACCCAGCTGGAGCTCCTGGTTCCTGACTAGGGCCTGCCTCTGCCCTGGCTTTGGTGGGGATTTAGGGAGTGAACCAGCAGACGGAAGATGTCTCTGTGTGTCTTTCAAATGAACAGAATAAATTTGAAAAGCAAAAATGCACAAAAAAGCGGAACAAGCTTTTTAAGAAATGGTCCCACATGAATGAAGATGAAGGAGAGAAGGTGGCAGACCCTGGGACATGAGGGTCAGGGTCAGTGGTCATGTCAGGCTTGAGGGACAGGGTTAGGGGTGTGAGGGACAGGGTCAGGGGTCAGAGGTCAGGGTCATGTCAGGGTTGTGAGGGACAGGGTCAGAGGGGTGAGGGCGGGCTTCGCTGTCTGGCTCAGGGCCTATGATTGTGTTTGAGCTTGGCGGCATGTTGCCAGGGCAGCCATTCTCCACTCGCCTGTGCCCTCTTGGTCCTTGAGTGTCTGTCTGTCCCTCTGTGCCTGGCACGTGGGTCACCTGGAACTGCAAGGGGGTGGTGGCGGGCCCCTTGATCTCGGGCCCATAACCATGAGTGAAAGAGACTGCTCAAGCTGACGGTTCTTGGGGTGTGGGTGAAGGAGGAGCACCCACAAGGTGTGTGCCTCTGTCCCCGAGGAGGCCACGCTCAGGGGTGGTGTCACTGGTCTAGACCCACAGGACAGGCACAGCCCCCATGGCAGATGTGGCCGGGGGTGTGGTCAGGGCACCCAGCTCAGACACACCTTGGGCCTGGTGCTGATGGCTGCTGCAAGGACCAGAATGTGCATCCAACACAGTGACAAGAGGAAGACACAGTTCAAAGAATGCAAACGGGAGCTGCAGCGGATGGGGCAGGAAGGGGTGGAACAAGGGACAAGGTGTAGAGAGTAGACACAGGCAAAAGAGGAGTGGGGCCTGCCTGTAGAAAGCTGGGGGTCCTGGACGTTGGGAGCTGGGATCCTGGGCTTGGAGAACTGGGGGTCCTGGGCTTTGACAACCAGAGGTCCTGGGTGTTGAGAACCGGGGGCCCTGGGCTTTGAAAATGGCAGTCCTGGTCTTTGAGGACCAGCAGTTTTGGACTTTGAAAACAGGAGGTCCTGGAAGTTGAGAACTGTGGCTCCTTGGCTTTGAGAATGAGGGTCCTGGGCTTTGGATCTGGGGGTCCTGGGTGTTGAGTCCTGGGTGTTGAGAATTGGTAGTCCTGGGCTTTGGAACTGGTGGTCCTGGGTGTTGAGAACTGGGGGCCCTGGGCATCGAGATCCGGGGGTCCTGGACTTTTGAGAACCAGGGATCCTGGACTTTGAGAGCCAGTGGTCCTGGGTGTTGAGAACCGGTGGCCCTGGGTGTTGAGAACCAGGGGCCCTACAGCTTTGAGAACCAACAGTTCTGGGTGTTGAGAACCAGGGGCCCTACAGCTTTGAGAACCTAGGGTCCTGGGCGTTGAGAACTGGGGGCCCTGGGCATCAAGATCTGGGGGTCCTGGGCTTTGAGAACCAGCGGTCCTGGGTGTTGAGAACCGGGGGCCCTACAGCTTCGAGAACCGGGAGTCCTGGGCATTGCAAACCGGGGACTACTTTTTTACCTGAGGCTGAGGAAGGATGTTGGGGGGTGTGGCCGCAGGCACTTCTGGGTCCCCTTTGGGATGGCAGGATTTGTATTGTGAGCAGATTTGTGGGTAGGTCGGCCTGGGTCTCCTCTGACCATGCCTGGTCCAGGCAGTGTCCTTCTGGGAGACCTTGCCTTGCAGGTGACCATCCGGTCCGCTTCCCCCATGGGAGGCTCACCCCTCCCACCCTGGGTGTTTGGGGGACCCAGTTGCTAGGTCCTCTTCTCTGGGCAGTGCATCCATCCTGTGGCCACACAGGCTGAGTGGGTATGGCGTCTGTTGGCCACTATTAGTTTTTAGGATTTGCTTACTTTTTGAGAGAGCGAGAGGTTGAGTTTCTACCTGCTGCTTCAGTCCCCAGATGACCACAGCAGCCAGGCCAGAGCCAGAGGCTACTCTTGCTGATGCGTTTTCTGCATGTTTCACTGCCAGGAGTCAAACAGCCTTTGAGGCAGTGCAGTCACTGCAGTGGTGCGGGGACAGAGAGCTCTGCAGGTGTCTGGGCGCTTGGCCGAGGAGCGGCCAGGGCAAGAGACTGGGCGCCCAGGGCACAGGGTGTGGGTTGTCAGTGGAGTGGGAACCGGAACCCGGGAGGAGTCTTCTGAGCTCTGGGGAGAACAGAGCAGGCGAAAATTCCTTATTTCTGCCTCCTGGGTTGGGCACAGGCGGGTCCAGCCTTTGGGCTCTGTTTCCCAGAGCCCAGCCGGCGCCTTGCAGGTCCCCCGGGGCTCCCCTCGGTCGGTCTTCTGCTCAGCACAGGGCAGTTCTCTGTTTAGACCGGCGGCAGGAGGGGAGCTGTGGTCCATTTCATGGAGTGGAGCCCTGGGAGAGGGGCACTGTGGGGGTCGGCCAGAAGGGCGGCGCTGGCGAAGGGCAGGCGCCCCTCCCAGGAGCAGGCAGGTGCTTTCCTGCATCAGAAAGCTGAGTGGATGAGCTGTGGCCGCATGTCACTCTGCCTCGTGTTGAGTGAATGTGGGAGGAGCCAGATGTGTCCACCTGGCTCGGAGCGTGGGGTGTGGCCCCAATCTGCGGGAATCCAGCGCAGTTGTGTGGCTGGGCAGAGGGGGCTCAGGAGCTCGGGAGCTTGGAGTTGAGCTTGCTCTTGAAAGGGTCTTTGTTTTCCCCCAAAGGCAGCAAACTGCATGGATCTAGTCAGGACAGGGGCAGTAAGTGTGTCTCAGCCCATCCTGTGTTGGGCCTGTTCAGTGAGCTTCGACGTGGGAGGGGCTGGGTGCTTGTCCAGCCTGCAGCTCCAGCTGCTCCGTGTCTGTTTTCCAGCGACATCTTTGACGCCATGTTCCCTGTCACCCACATTGCCGGCGAGACTGTCATCCAGCAAGGTGAGCGCCGCGGCCATGCTCCGTGCACCTTTGGGGGAAGGTGGGGAGACACTGGGTCCTGTGGGTCCACCCGGAGAACGTGGCTGGGACCGGAGCCTTCCTGGGCTGCCGTCTGGGGTTAGCCGGGGCCTGCATGGCGGCACGGGTGGTTAAGCCGCAGCTCGCCCCGCCAGCGTTCCAGTCCCGGCTACTGCTCTTTCAGCCAGCTCACTGGTGGTGCCCCAGGAAAGCAGTGAAGCACAGCCTGGTGCCCTGGGCCCTGTGCTCACATGGGAGACCTGGATGGCACTCCTGGCTCTGCTGACTTGGCCCTGGCTGTTGGAGCCACTTAGAGAGTGAGCCAGGGGATGGCTTGCTTTCTCTGTCACTCAACCTTTCAAATAAAATAATTTGAAAATCTTTTCTTTTTTTACATAAAGATGTATTTATTTTTATTTGAAAGGCAGATTTACAGACAGAAGGAGAGAGAGGGAAAGATCTTCCATTGGCTGGTTCACTCTCCAAGTAGCCGCAGTGGCGGAGCTGAGCTGATCCGAAGCCAGAAGCCCCCTTAGGGTCTCCCATGTGGGTGCAGGGTCCCAAGGTTTTGGGCATTCCTCCACTGCTTTCCCAGGCCACAAGCAGGGAGCTGGTTGAGAAGTAGAGCAGCTGGGACATGAACTAGTGCCCATATGGGATCCTGGAGCATACAAGGCGAGGATTTAGCCACTAGGTCATCATGCTGGACCTATAATTTGAAAATTAAAAACAAAGACAGAGAGAGAGAGACTCCCCCGCTGCCCAGCTCCTGTGTCTTGGCGCTCACACCTGTCTTCTTCCTCCTGCAGGGAACGAAGGTGACAACTTCTACGTTATTGACCAAGGAGAAGTGGACGTGAGTGCCCCCGGCTGCTGGGGACAGTGGCTCCTGTCCCCACACCTCCTCCTGGGCGCTGTTCCCTTTGTCCCCCACACAGCAATGGGAGAGGGCTGAAAGCACGGTCAGCGATGAGCGCGAGTGGGGGTGGCCAGCAGCTGGGGCTGTGTGCTCTGTCCTCTGCCTCCACCTTCCCCAGGGTGTTGTGCTCAGCCTGCCCACTTTGGGTCCTCCTTGGTTTGCCTTGCTGGACGGAATCCCAGGCACCTGCCCCAGCGGCCCCTGCCCCTAGCAGAGCAGGGGTTGATTTCTATTCGGGTTGGGCCCAGAGGGACACCGTCATTCCCCACCCTACACCCCACCCCGTTTGTGCTGGCCTGGGCAGCCTGCCCTGCAGAGGGGAGAGGCATCTCTGGGGCCCCTCCCTGAGCCCACCTCATCCCCACACTATTGTCCACTCCGTGCTGGCCTGGGTGGACTTCCCTGCCAGGAGACCTCTCCCTGAGCCCACCTCATCTCTCTATACCATCTGTCCTCTTGGTGACGCACCTGCCTCCCTTGTTCTTTCCACGGCACCTGTCCACTTCCTTCCTGGGTCACAGCTCAAGTTCAACTTCACAGTAATGTGATTTTTTCCTATGGCCCTTTCTGTCGACCATGAGATGAGGCCCCAGATGCCCACTGCTATCCTTGAGGGCCCCCCCGAGTCACTTAGGGGCGGGGACTTGGGCTGGGGATGGTCGGTGTGGCCGCCACACCTCCTCCCTTACCACAAACTGCCACCACCTGCCCTGAGCCGGCCCTGCCAGCCGCTGTGCAGCTGACACCACGCCCGGGCCCTGGTTGAGCTATTTCAGGGCTGCGCCTCCGTGCAGCGCTATTCTGGGGAGGCCCTTACTCATGGCTTTCCCCTCGCAGCGGTCATCGCTGGAGTTCTGGGAACTGGGGCAAGCCCGTTCTGCTTCCGAAGCCAGACGCTCAGGAAATGATTCACATTGATCTCCTGCGAAGGGCGCACGCACAGTGCCTGCCGGGGCCTCTGGGTCACAGTCGCCGGCCCCGTGCTGGCTGCAGCAGGGGGGCTGGGCAGGCCCCCACGTCTGGGGTGGGGACTGTCGCCCTCCTGGACCGGAGCACACCCAGGGCTGCCCGGGGTCAGGGAGAAGTGCCCGGAAGCAGCCTAGCCCTGGGCTCAGCTACAGGTCACAGCTGCCTCCTGCTCCTCACCACGGGTCAGAAAAAACCACCACAGGAAACAGAGGCGACAGGGGAAGGGAGCCTAGTCCTCTGCCTGGCTCTGTCTGGGAGCGGGTGCTTGGGGCACCTGGGTGGGATGGGCCCACCCAGGAGACAGGGTAGCTCTCCGGAGCTGCTGACCTGGGACCTTGGCCTGTCCCAATTTGGACCGATGGTTTGCCCACTTGGCCCTGACCTTACACCAGCAGCTTTAGTGACACTCGGTGCTTTCTCTTTGCCTATCACTTGTTTTTTTTTTTTTTTTAAAGATTTATTTATTTATTGGAAAGTCAGAGATACAGAGAGGAGGAGAGACAGAGAGGAAGACCTTCCGTCCGATGATTCACACCCCAAGTGAGCGCAACAGCCAGTGCTATTCCGATCCGAACCCAGGATCCAGGAACTTCTTCCAGTATCCCATACGGGTGCAGGGTCCCGAGGCTTTGGGCCGTCCTTGACTGCTTTCCCAGGCCACAAGCAGGGAGCTGGATGGGAAGTGGAGCTGCCGGGATTAGAACCGGAGCCCATATGGGATCCTGGCATGTTCAAGGCGAGGACTTTGGCCACTGCGCTGCGCCACCAGGCCCTTTGCCTATCACTTGTGAGCCCCTGGTGTCACCCAGCACCTACGGAGCTCCACGTGCCACCCAGCACCCCTGGGAGTTCCAGGTATCACCCAGCACCCAGGGAGCCTCCAGTGTCACCCAGCACCCATGGGAGCTCAAGATGTCACCCAGCACCCATGGGTGTCACCAATGTCACCTAGCACCTATGGGAACCCCCAGTGTCACTCAACATCCACGGAGCTCCAGGTGTCACCCAGCACCCACGTAGCTTCAGTGCCACTCAGCACCACAGGAACCCCAGGTGTCACCCAGCACCCATGGGGCTGCACATGTCATCCAGCACCCACAGGGGTGCCCGGTGTCACCCAGCACCCACAGAAGCACCAGGTGTTACCCAGCACCCATGGGGCTCCACGTGTCACCAGCACCCACGGCGGTCCCCGGTGTTACCCAGCACCCACAGAGCTCCAGGTGTCATCCAGCACCCATGGAGCTACTGGTATCACCCAGCACCCATGGGGGCTCCCGGAGTCACCCAGACTCACGAGGCTCAACGTATCACTCAGGACTCACGGAGCTCCACACATCACCCAGCACCCATGGGGGTCCCCGGTGTCATCCAGTACCCATGGAGCTCCACATGTCACCCAGCACCCACAGGGTTCCACGCATCACCCAGCACCCACAGGGTTCCCTGGTGTCATCCAGCACCCACGGAGCTACCAGTGTCACCCAACACCCACGGAGTTCCAGGTGTCACTCAGAATCCACAGGAGTCCCAGGTGTTTCCTGGCCCTGGGGGAGCCCCTCCCTGCCCTGTGTCAGACTGTGGGAAGGAGAGGATACAGCTTCTGCCCTGAAGAAGACCAAGGGGAACAGGGCATGGCAGCCTTCTGCCCTGTGCTGGTGCCCACAGCCCACTCTGCTGCCTGTCCCTGAGCGAGCTTTGGGGTCCCGTCCGGCCCAAACCATCCCTGTGCAGGCTGGTGCCTCCTGGCTGCTGGGCTCTGCCAGGTCCCTAAGTGCCCACACTGGGTCCAGTTGCAACTGCTCCTTGCATGCGGCACACAGACCCTGCTGCTCAGCCCTGCAGTTCACTCCTGCCCACTCATGCAGCTCCCGATCCCTACCTGCCCAGGACAGAGACGTGCCACCCAGGGGAGAAAGGCTCTGTCCGGCTGGACGCAGCAGGGTTCCTGTCTCTCCTGGAGGCCAGCACAGCTCACGGGGTGGGGGCTGGGTGGTCTGCAGGTAGAGGCTTCCCTACCCTGAGTGTACCCCAAATGTATCACAGAGGAGGGGAGCCTGTGGTCATGGTCCCTGCCCGGGGCTATGACTGCCAGGCTGGGCAGCCAGCAGAGCCCCGAGTGAGAACTTCTGCCTCCGACCCCTATGGAGCCCTTCATCCTCCTCATTGCCACCCCCACCCCCGCTTTCAGGGGCTAACTGTAAACCCTGGGGTCGGATGTTGCTAATCCCCCTGACTCTGCACCCTGTATCTGTCACCCCTCCTAAAAGGATGAATACGGGGAGGAAGGGAGCTGGCTCCCCCCCCAGGGTGTCCCCGACACGAAGGCACCCCCAAGATGGGCTTGGCTGCTTCCCGCTGAGCCGCGTCCTCACTGGCTGCCTGCCCAGCCTTGGCACACTTGGGTTGTCTTAGGAAGGGAAGAGGTGAGGTCACCTTCACAGAACCGGAATTCCCCAAATACAATGTCCTGGTGGCAACGGGCCCCTCCCTGCCTCCCCGCTCCAGGCCTTGGGGACAAAGGCAGCTTTTAAGGCCCTGCTGGACCCCGGCTGGCCAGAGCCAGGATGTCTGGGCACCGTGGGTGGACGCCCGTTTCCTGGCTGCAGCTGCAAGGGGACAAGGCTGTGACTTACGGGGCCTGCCTGGCATTCCATCAGTCTCGTTGGAGACCCCGCCTGACAGGCAGTCACCGTGAGGAGGAGCCCCTGTGACGTGAGAGTGCCCCCCCCAAACAGGACCAGGTCACATGGACAGGCAGCCAGAGGGGTTAAGCCAAAATGGACTGACATGAGGAAGGCGGAGGGGCATGCAACAGGGGTGCCTCTTGAACTCCTGGGCACAAGGATGTGTGGTCTGCCAGCCCCTCTGCCCGCCCCTCACCTTTGCTCAAGACCCAGTCATGCCCAGTGCTCCCCTGCTGCCTCGGCTTCTGCTGTCTCTGCATGACTGGGCCCGGCCACGGGGGGCTGCCTTCTGGGGCGGTCCCCTCAGCCTGTGTGCAGCTTTTTAGCCTGCGGCTGATCAGCACATCCCCCCGGGACACGAGTCTCCCGTGCACTCTAAATCCATGCTGTGACTGAGGGCACTGAGGGTGAGGGTATGAATAAAACGGTGGGTGCGGGGTGAGGGAGCTGAGTGGCTGACCCTGCAACCCTGCTGTGGCCCCTGGGGGCCTCTTCTCATTTTTCTTCTAAAAGACAAAAACACAAAAAACGAAACAGAGCAATAGGCAGGCCCTGTGCGTGCCAGCTGGGTGGGGCCGACACTGCGCCGGGGAGCGGTGACAGAGGCCAGTGTCCCGAGAAGGATGGCCCCTTTGTCCTCGGGGAGGTGGCCCGTCCGTCTGTGGGGCCTGCACAATGGTTTCTTCTGACTGCCTGGCAGGGGTGGGGTGGGGGGCAGTTTTCAGGACCTTGGGCTTTGTAGGGAGGGAGGGGCTCTCTGGCTGTGCCCCACAGCAGCCACTGCCCTACACCCCAGGAAGTTGAGGGGTACAGCTGTGATGGCCGCACCAGGTTGCTGGACATACCCTTCATCCTGGGGCCCCGTGCTTGGCAGCAGGTGCTGGCATCTTGCCACATGCCAGGGGTGTCCTCATGGTCCCTTACTGTGTGTGCATCATGGGGCTTGGGCTCTGCCTGGACCCTCCCCAGGGGCACATACTTGTCCAAGTTCATGTCCCTGAGCCTACCTGCATGACTGGTAAGAGGTCTTTGTGTGGGATGGAGGATGGCGTGTGTTGATGGTGGCCAAGCCAGCAGGCTAGTCACCTGCTCCACCACCAGGTCCACGTCTCCTCCAGATGCCGTGAGTGCCCTGTTCTCTCCAGCATTGGCCCGCCCTTGGGTGTGGACATATCACCTGGCGGCCCTTCTCGATGGGGGAAAATCTGGGTGTTGTCGTGGTGTGGATAAAGAGCCATTGAGCCTCGTCACTCAGCCCCTGCCTCTTCTTTCGGTTGGGAGCCATTCTTTGGGGCCCTGAACTTACTGGGGAATAAAGAGGGCCCAGTGGCTGCATAATGGACAATCTGCACCATTCTGCATGGACGCGGCCGCGTTTGCCTTCGCACAGGGGCTGCACTGTGCAGGGTATGTCCTGAAAGGGGTCTTGTCGCAGTCCCTGCTCCGGCCACAGCAGTTCCGGTTCAGGCCCTAGCCCTGGGTGCTGGGGTGCTGCCCATGGGCTGGAGGGATTGATCATCAGAACAGCCAGCACGGGATGGGGAGCGGGGAACACCGTGGTCCTCAGGCCAGGACGGTGCGCCTGGTCCCCAGCCGTGCCCACCTGGGGTGTCGTCTCCCAGGCACACCATGCTGTATTCTGCCCACCAGCTGATGGGAGTTCCCTGGGGGAGCTCAGAGGCCCTTGCCTGTCTCCTGCTCTGAGTTTGTTCCTGAGCTTATGTGGGAATGCAGTCCCCCGAGTCCCTCAGCTCCAGGGCTGGACCCCACAGGCTTGTCACAGACACGCCCTGACCCTCCACATGCCTGTATCCCACCCCCAGGTGTACGTGAACGGAGAATGGGTGACCAACATCAGTGAGGGTGGCAGCTTCGGGGAGCTGGCGCTCATCTATGGCACTCCCAGGGCCGCTACGGTGAGAGCCAAGACGGACCTGAAGCTCTGGGGCATTGACCGCGATAGCTACCGGCGCATCCTCATGGTGAGTGGCACCCTGGCCTGGAGCCTCCGCACACACTGGCGTTGGGGCTCCCTTCTGCCTTCCAGTCTGGGCGATGGAATGATCTCGGCACCCACTGATGTTGCGAGGCCAGGGCTGGGCCTGGCCCCTGCTTCCTCCATGCTTCAGTTTCTTGCTCACAGCTGGGTTGGCTCTCAGCTGGTGCAGGCTCTCAGGGTGTGCATGTGTGCATCCTCTGTAGCCTGTTGCAGAAAGTCCGCTACCTAAGAGACAGGCCCCGACACTTCCTGCCAGATGCCTCTTTGAACAGGAAGCTGCACGCACATGTACAGGAGGGAAGACTGCAGATTTATAGGAAGGCTTGTGGTAGCCCTGCCTCCTCACAGTGAGCCTGAGTCTGAGACTGGAGGCCAACGGCCTTGGGGCAGCAGCTGCTGCAGTGTTCATGGGCCAGTCAGCAGCCTGCTGTGGAGGGGGAGTTCTGGTCAAGGAGGGGTGGACAGAGGCCTCACCGCAGCCTGGCTATAGCTCGGTGCCCCTACAGATGCTTCTCACGGTTGGACAGAGTGGGCCATAGGAGATTCCTTCTGGAGGGTTCCAAGCTTGGCAGTCCTCGTCTGGGGTTCCCTTGCACTTAGGTTTTTGTCTTCCTTGAGTTGCAGCACTTCTTGAAGCTGTTCTGAGCCTGGCAGGGTGACCCAGGAGGACCGGGCAGAGGACAGCTCGGTAGAGGGCAGTCTCTGGGATAGTGTTTGTGTGGTCTGGCCCTGCTGAGGATAAGCTACGTGGGCTGTCCAGGGGCCTCTGATTGCTCTTCAACCACTGCTCCTCCATAGAATGCCCCAAGACCAGGCTGGGGAAGCTTGGAGAACTCAGGAATGAAGGCTTTTATGGTCAGGGAACATAGCATGGGTCCCCTCAGGACTTGCCCCTTCACATTGTGAGTTCCATTAGGACAGGCCCTTTCACTGTGAGACTCCAGTCAGGACTGCCCCCCAAACTGACAGGTCCTGTCAAGACCAGCCCCTGTCATACCTCATATCCCTGGTCCTGTCAAGACAGGCACCTTCATCCCATGGTTCCTGTCAGGACTGGCCCCTCACAACAGGGGTCCTCTCAGGGTCCTGTCAGGACTGGCCCCCTTACACTGTGGTCTCCATCAGGACCAGCTCCCTTCTAACAGCATCAGCCTTGCATACCTTGGGTCCTGTCAGGATCAGACTTCTCAGGCCACAGGTCCTTCATGCTGAGGGAGCTGTCGGGACTAGCACCTTCTTGCCACCTGGGCTCTTGTACCCCAGGTCCTGTCAGGATTGGCTCCCTCACTTTATGGGTCCTCCTCATTCCATGAGACTTGTCAGGACCAGTTCCCTCAGTCTAGTCCTGTCAGATCCAGGCACCTCAACTCCCTCCTGTCAGTATCAGCCCTACACACCTCGGGTCGTATCAGAATCAATCCCCTCTCACCACAGGTCCTGTCAGGATTGGCTCCTACACACTCCAGATTCTATCGCCAACGGTCCCTCACACTATGGGTCCTGTCAGGACTGGTTTCATCAGACCACAGGCTGTCAGAACCAGGTCCCCCATACCACAACAGGCCTCTCACAACAGGCCCCTCATACCCTGGATCCTGTTAGGAACAATGTTTCATGGCATGTGTTCTGACAGGACCAGGTCCCTCACACCCCAGATCCTGTCATGATCAGCTCCCCCACACCCCACAGCCCAGATCCTGGCATGACCAGCTTTATACCCCATACCCTGGGTCCTGTCACACCGGCTCCCTCACACTGTAAGTCCTGTCACACCCGGCTGGCTCCCTCACAGCCAGGGTCCTGTCACAACCAACTTCCTTACACTGCAAGTCTTGTCAGGACTGGTTCCCTTACAGCCCACACCGCAGGTCCTGTCACAGCTGGCTCCCTCACATTGTATGACCTGTCATGACTGGCTCCCTCACACACCCCACACCCCTATCACAACCGGCTCCATCACACCACAGCTCCTGTCATGATTGGCTACCTCACACCCAGGGTCCTGTCAGGATTCATTCCCTCACAGCCCACACCATAAGTCCTGTCATGACTGGCTCCCTCACACCTAGAGTCCTGTCACAACCAGCTCCCTCATACCACAAGTCCTATTGTGACTGGCTCCCTCACACCCAGGGTCCTATTGTGACTGGCTCCCTCACACCACACGCCTCAGGTCCTGTCAGGACTTGGCTCCCTCACAGCCCACACCCCAGGTCCTGTCACAACTGGCTCCGTCACATTGTATGACCTGTCAGGACTGGCTCCCTCACATTGTATGACCTGTCAGGACTGGCTCTCTCACACCGGACTTGTCACATCCGGCTCCTTCACACTGTGGGTCCTGTTGTGACTCCCTCCCTCACACCCTGTCACAACTGGCTCCCTCACTTGTTCCCTCACAGCCCACACCGTGGGTCCTGTCGTGACAGGCTCCCTCACACCCCACTTCTCAGGCCCTGTAATGACCAGTTCCAGATGACCTGTCAGGACCGGCTCCCTCACATCATGTGTCCTGTCGGGACTGGCACCTTCCAACCTGGCAACATCTGGCCCCCTCTTTGGGGTGACTGTTGTCAGGCCCAGCATGGTCAGGGGGCCCCTGCCTGCTATGCTCACAGTGTGGGTAGGGCAGAGGATTCCATGCCTGCTTGCTGCTGTTTATCCGGTGCTGGGGGACCACTCCCCTGCCATGGGGGCCCCCCGGGGAGTCCACGGACACCTGACCCCAGGGTTGCGAAAGGCTGGGCTCTGGCTCATTGTCTGTGTTGTATCTTTACCGGCTATTTTTTTTTTTTATTGTGGCTGGAACCGTGTATTCAGGGAAGCTCTGAAGCCATGATGGCAGCTGGTGCTTCCTCTGTGTTAATTCTGGCTCCCTCTGTACCAAGAATAGTCACTGCCAGGCTTGGGACTGACAGAGCTCCCGCATCCCAAGAAAGAAAACCACAGGCGTGGCTGGTGCAGGTGCCAGAGCCCTGGGCCTTGGGCCTCCGTCCAGGTCAGTTCTGGATGTGTCCATCAATGCTGGATGCGGAGCCAGCGTCTGCCCTCAGAACAAGACTCTGGTCCAGAAGTTTCTGTGGGTGTCAGTGTCTCCTCTCCGCTGCTGCGTGTTTTCTTCAGGGACAAGGGAGCCCGGCCATGGGGAGGGCCTCAGCTTGATCCCCCTCCTCTGCTCCGGCTGGCCCAGCAGAAGCTGGCAAGCCACTGGCCTTTTCTTTGTCTGCCCCAGGGCCTGTGTCCACCTGGACTGTACTGCGGCCCTGTGCCAGGACGTGACGGGCATGTAGACTGAGTTGGAATGTCAGGACAGCACTGGGGACGTGGGTCAGGACAGATGTTTTGTCATGTGCCTATACCTCTGACCACCTCTGAGCCCTCAGAGCGTGGACTGGGGGTCCTGGCTCCAGTGCGGTGGGCCAGGTGGGCCGTGTCTTCTTTCTCCAGTCCCGACATCTACCTGACCAAGGCCCAGGGTCGATGTTAGAGTCCCTGAACCCCTAGCCAGCACCCGTTGACCTCTCTCTGACCTCCTGCCTCCTGCTCTTCCCACTAGGGTTCCCTAAGGGCAGTGAGGGGAGGGAGCCCTTGACCTGTCCTTCATGCCTCAACCCCCAGTGGTCCCCAGCTCCAGGGGAGCCCCTAACCCCCAAGGCAGCCCCAGGCTCAGGGCAGCCCCCCAGATGGCCTGCCACCCCCAGGGCGACCCCCACCCCCAGGGCAGCCCCGTCTCCTCAGGGCAGCCTGGCTGATTCCTGTTTGAGGGATGCAGAAGCTGTGCCTTGTGCCCTGGGCAGGCTCCGGTGTGGGCTGGACCTCGGTAAGCCCCGACGCCAGGGCTGATGGCCACCAGCCTCACCTATACAGACTCCACATTGGGTAGTTCTGGCCAAGCTCTGCCAAGCTCCTGGCAGCCCCTGAGACAACAGCAAGGAGGACAGGGCCCCCAGGTGCCCATGGAGTGCAGGACCCACTGGCCCAGGCCCCAGTGCTGCCTCCGTCACACCAGTAAGTAGCCTTAGAGTCCTGGTAAGGCCAGCTCCTCCCTGGGCCCTCGGTGGCCACCCCAGCTGTCACTCTGCTGCAGGAGGTTCCCAGGGCCAAGCACACACGTCTTTCTCCTGCTGGGTGGCCAGGGTGTGTAAGGAAGAAATGCCTTTTTTATGGCTGGCGGGATTTATAGTGCCTGGGCCCCGTCACCACAGCCCAGAGTATCCTGGCCTGCTGTGGTGGGCAGTCGTGTTGGAACGCGGGCCTGCTTGTGTTTCAACACGTGGGGTTTCCGTGGTGTCTCTGTTGCTGTGGGAACCTGGGTTGTGGACTGACAGCAGGTGCAGAAGTAACTTGCACCCTCTGGGGCCCGGCTGGTGAGGTTTCGCAGGACTGCTGGGCTGGACTCCCAGCCCAGGGAAGCTTGAGATGACCAGAGACCAGAATGGGAACTAGTGTGCGCTCAGCACTGCTCCAGAGCTCAGAGCTCCTGGGGTCTGGGCTCCCCTCACTGCCACACATCGAGTGCAGGCTGTGCGTGTGCTGACTGTTAGGCCTGCAGCCCAGACAAGGGCACCAAAGCGCTGGCTAGCCCAGAAACACAGGGAGGGCAAGAGCAAGGGGTGGAGAGTGAACCCAGGGCCCCAGGCTGCCCCAGTTGGAGCCCTGATCTCATGGCCCTGCCCCCAGCCCCAGAGCGGCTTGCCCACCACTGTCTGCCCTACCCTTCCAGTGTCTGCTCTGACTTGGATGAGGCCTGTGCCCCTGAGCTGGGGTGCTGCTGGCCACACAGGGCATCTGTGATTCTGTCATGAGTGGTCCTGTGGTACAGCCCAGCATTGACAGGGGACACCACCTTCCCCCAGGACTGCCCCAGGTGTGCTAGGACGGCAGATGGCAGCTGAGGTGCTCTTTGTGCCCCTGGCTCCGCCTCACACCATGGATCAGCCCGAGTCTCCCAAGGTGCTCTAGGGCCATGGAGCCACAGCCCTAGCCACAGTTCTGCAGGCACTGGGGCTGGGCTGCCTCAGCCATGGTGGCTCAGCCCCAAAGGAGAGGGCTCAGGGCAGCGAGCCCCTGAGGTCGCAGCTTTCTGGGCAGCACGCACAGAAGGCAGCCCCACATGGGTCGCTCTCTGAGCTACCACATGCAGCCTGACACCCACCCCCCTACACACTTGTCCCTGGGGACCTGGGCAGATGCAGCCAAACTTTGCTCACTGCAGCTGCATGACTGTGAACGTCCTTTCCATCTGTCATGAGAAGATTGAGCGTGGTGTGGTACAACATACACTGTGGGTGCCCTGGATACCCGGGCCAGCGTGTGGATACCATGGCCAGCACATGGGTGCCCTGGCCAGCGTGTGGATGCCCTGGCCAACACGTGGGTGCCCTGGCCAGCACGTGGGTACCCTGACCAGCATGTGAGCCGGGAGAGGCTGCTTGAGCTTGCTGTTTGCACAGTGTCCCAGGTCTGGGCATCTGTGACCCCTCCTAAGCCGGGAGATGATGGCACGGCAGGGCCTGGCATGGGAGTGGCCATGCTGATGGCAGAGGGTTCTGCTCCATTTCTGGTGGAGAGGAAGTGCTCTGTCCCTCTGTATTCTCAACAGGAGCTGAGCTGGCAATGTGCTGGTGTCCGAGATGTTGGGGAGGCAGGAGAAGGCATCCTGCTTGGAGACACTGAAGACATGGGGCCCATTTTTTTGTTACTGGCAGGGAAACTATGACCCACTGGGGACAAGGCTGGGCGTGTGGGCAGACCAGCGTGGCGGTGGGGTTGTTGGCCCTTCCCCATTGCACTCAGTAATTTGTATTACTCTCCATCATTCTCATCACCGTTACCACCCTTATCCCCATCGCTTGGCTGATGCCCGGCCATCTGGGAACAGCTGGGAAAGGTTGCCCTAACCCTGGTGCCCAGAGCGATCAGGTGTGCATAGCTGCCGCTGGCTGTGGCCGGGCATGCAGAACTCTCTCTCTCTCTCTCTGCTGCTGGTGCTCTTGTCACAGTTTTCTGGGGACAGCCTTCAGCGTCGCTGCCAGTTGTCCAGCCCTCTCCGCCGACACACACAGTCTCCTCCGCAGACGGTCTGGTGTCCAGCAGAGAGGGCGGGGCTCCTGCCATGGCCTGTCCTGTGCTGTGGGTCCCTCATGGCGCCGAGCTCCCTTCTGCAGGAGTCGCCGTGTGCTCAGCCAGTTAGCAGCTCATTGAGGGGGTGCTGGGGGATTAGGGGGACTGGAGACAGGCCTGGGGCTGGCCATTGCTGCTCTCACCCTAAGTGTGACCACTGGGCACTCGGTAAAAGTGATGTTGTGGGGTCTCTTTTTGTTTTTTGTTTTTATTGGAAAGGCAGGTATACAGAGAGGAGAGACAGAGAGGAAGATCTTCTGTCCAATGATTCACTCCCCAAGTGAGTGCAACGGTCGATGCTATGCCGATCCGAACCCAGGAGCCTCTTCTGGGTCTCCCACACGGGTGCAGGGTACCAAAGCTTTGGGCCGTCCTCGACTGCTTTCCCAGGCCACAGGCAGGGAGCTGGATGGGAAGTGGAGCTGCCGGGATTAGAACCGGCGCCCATATGGGATCCCGGGCGTGCAAGGCGAGGACCTTAACCACTGCGCCATCGCGCTGGGCCCATGGGATCTCTTTTTAAAAAAAGATTCATTGGGCCCGGCGGCGTGGCCTAGAGGCTAATGTCCTCGCCTTGAATGCGCCAGGATCCCATATGGGCGCCGGTTCTAATCCCGGCAGCTCCACTTCCCATCTAGCTCCCTGCTTGTGGCCTGGGAAAGCAGTCAAGGACGGCCCAAAGCCTTGGGACCCTGCACCCGCGTGGGACACCCGGAAGAAGTTCCTGGATCCTGGGTTCGGATCGGCATAGCATTGGCCATTGCGCTCACTTGGGGAGTGAATTATCGGACGGAAGATCTTCCTCTCTGTCTCTCCTCCTCTCTGTATCTCTGACTTTCCAATAAATAAATAAATCTTTAAAAAAAAAAAAAAAAGGAGGAGGAGGTGGGGAGAGAGTCCCCCATGGACACCCGGCCACTGGAGGGGCTTCCGGTCAGATGCTCTGTCTTCTCCCCTCCCCCCTGCTTCCCGTCACCTCTGTCTCTTCTCTCCCCACAGGGCAGCACGCTGAGAAAACGCAAGATGTATGAGGAATTCCTCAGCAAAGTCTCCATCCTGGGTCGGTGGCTGCGTCTGTTGGGGTGGCCGCTTCCTCGTCCTCGTTCGGGCACTGCCCCTTCCCCTGGGGTCCCTTCCTGGAGTGGCTCATAGCTGGGGGCTCCCGGTAGCTGTGAGTCTGAGATGTGCACACTCACACATATGCACAGGCATGTGTGCACCCGTGTTTGCAAACACACCCACGTTAACAAAATTGAAAACTCCATGTCCCTGCTGTTGACACAGGTAACCCTGCCCTGATGCACGGTGCAAGTCTGTGTGTCCAGTATGAGTCAGGCTTTGAGTGTGGCTCTTGTGGGGCCGTCCCTGCGTCCTGGGTCCCCCTGTGGCCCTCAGGCCCTGGAGGACACTTACATGCTCAAGGAGGCCCCTCAGCGGTCACTGGGAGGCTGCTGCTAACAACTGCCCCAGAGCAGCAGGCACTTGCACCCGTGTGTGCAGTGTGGTGGTCCCTTGCCCACAACCTCTCTAAATCTCCGTAAAAGGTGGGAGGTTGGTGTGGGGCGTTCTTCCCTCAGGAGTGCCTGTGGTCCCTTTGGCCCTGGGAGGGCAGGTGTGGGCCCTCTCCTCCCGCAGTCACCTGCGTCTGCTCTGTCCCCTCCCCTCGGGAGTCACCTGCAATTGTGCCTTTGTGCGGGTTTGTCCTGGACACGCGGCTGCCAGGTCCTCTCTGGCAGTAAGAGCCGGTCCAGTCACTGTGGCCAAGGGCGTTTCTGGACAGCAGGCAATGGAACGTGTCAGCATGAGACCCCTGACAGCCCAAAGCTGCTGCTCGCTGCTCACTGTCGGCCACTTGGCCTCTCATTGTGGTTTCTCGGGGACTGTCGTTCTCACGCTAGTCATCCCATGGGTCCCAAGTGGACTGTGGCGGAAGCGGGGTGTCTGAGTTCAGCGTGGAGGGTGACACACGGGGTCAAGGGGACATTTCCTCCCAGGGTCTGTCTCCCCAGATAGGACGCCAGGTGTTCTGAGGACCCCAGGCTTTGGCCCTTTGAGCAGTTCTGGCCCTGAAGCTCAGCTGTGCTGTGGACAGGCCTGTTTGTGGGCAGGTAGAATTATCCCACACACTAGGAGGTTCCATTTGTAAAAGGCCTGGCACCAGGTTGAGCCAGTGGCTGTAGGTGGATTGGCTGATGCTGCTGAGTCCTGCACCCTGGGTGGCTGCTGAGGGCGTGCCCATCTTTGCCTTGCCCCTAGTGACCCTGTCTTCTCGCCACAGAGTCCCTGGAGAAGTGGGAACGCCTCACGGTGGCCGATGCCCTGGAGCCCGTGCAGTTTGAAGACGGAGAGAAGATTGTGGTCCAGGGCGAGCCCGGGGACGACTTCTTCATCATCACGGAGGTGAGTGGGCATTGCCTGCACAGGTGTGCCCACAGAGCTGGTACGGTGCCCTTTGTGTCAACCCCACACAAATTTAAACGCAGAGCCGCACAGGCCTGCCGTGAGATCCAACTGGTGGGGACGCAGGACTGTAACATATGGCACATTCTGTGGATACCTACCTGCTCATATGACAAGACTGCAGGGCATGGGACACACATGCATGGTGAATACACGCTTGCACACGTGACAGGATGGACATGTGCAGAACACACCTGCGTGTGTAGTGAGGTTGCAGGACACGGGACACGCTCTGGCATGTGCAGCTCACAGGAAGCTGCTCACGCCGCCCTGACCGTGTGCTGTGCTTGGCGTCCCTTGCATGCTGGTGCTGTGGGGCTGCTCCGTGTCCGTCCTCACAGCTGCAGATGGCAGGATTCCAAGGGCCAGCAGACAGCGGAGGGCTTCTCTGCTGAGTCACAGCATCGCCCTTGCCGTCTGCCACGCACCAGGGCAGACAGCAGGATGCATGAGGGGCCACAGCCTGCCTGCCTCTGAGCTGCTGTGTGAGGGGCATGGCCACTCTGTACAGCCGGAGCCTCTGGTCACATGTGGGCCCATGTAGCTCTCTGGATGCAGTTCACCCCTAATTTGTCCATGGTGGGGGCTGTGGGTCCTAGCCCCGGGAGAAGCCCTATGGGATCTGGTGGGGCGGGCAGTGGGGGCTCCTGGGTCTGTGGCCTCAGTTCCCACCATGTGGTTGTGTTCTGTCCACTGTGTACCAGGCTGTCTGGTTCCCCTTAGGCCATAGGGGGATGCTTCCTGGGCTCCCAAGGGAGGAGCTGGAACCCACACCATGACCCCACAACCCTGTGGTCCCCCCAGCCCCCGCAGAACTGGAACCCACACACGACCCCGCGACCATGTGGTCCCTCCGCCCCCCACATGCTGCAGGTCATCCCACCGCACCGCTGCAGGCTGCACCACAGCAGCCAGTGTGGAGACCTGAATGCTTGCCCAAGAGCAGCTGGCTACTGGGCACGGCCTGGACACGAGGTCCAGCTGAGTACAACCCTGATGTGGCAGCTGTGCCTGCATGTGGCCGTGTAAATCTTGGAGTCCCTGGACCTTGGGCTGTGTGTTTAGGTGAGGGTCGGCACCTCAGGCTGCTGGCTGCTAGGAGGACCCCGAGAAAGGGGTGGCACCCCTTGAGGAGGCCCTGGGCTGCCACCTGCTAAAGTTTGCGGAGAGCTACAGGTGGTTCCTGGGGGTCAGGGTGCGGAGGTGGGCTCTGGGGTGCAGCCGTCTACTGGCCATATCCTCGTGTGTGAAGTGGTGTGGGCTCCTGGTGTCCACCCTGTGTGGTCTGTGATTGTCACCTGTGGCAGGACTGGCACCCAGGAGCCATCCCCACCGCACCTGAGCCCAGGGGGGCTCTTGGCTCAGCCCACCACCATCGCAGTCCTGCCCATGAGCCCTGCTTGTTCCTCCCAGATGTTCATGCCGGCTGTGAACCCCACAGATGACAGGGACTGCCCTTTTGCATGCAGTGCTGGTACCCCGTCCTCGTCCTAGCCCCAGTGGACTCCTGAGTGGGCAGCAGCTGAGCCCCTGGGGGCCAACAGGACTTGGCAGTTGAACCTGCTGTACAGGGAGATGCGGCTATGTGGCGGTCCTCTCCCCAGCAAAGACTTGGGCAACAGCCCTTGCAAACAGGTGGTTTCTGGGAGTCTTGAAGGTGATGGGGCCCTGGGGTCCATCCGGAAGCAGGGCCCCCCTCCTTGGCCCCCAAGCCCTTGAGAGACATGAATCCAGCCTCTGAAAAAAAGCCACAGAGAGGAGGACCTGCAGCCCACAGCCTGGGGACGTTGGGGCCCCTGGGGCAGCCTGGGGCTGGGGCTCTAACCCAGGGTCCCCAGGAGCCCAGCCGTGCACAGCCCTCTTGTGGGGCAGGGAGGCGGGGTCTCCTGACTTGGGAGAGGTGCTTTTGGGGCTTGCTTGGCGGATGGGGGTAGGGGTGGGCAGCTGTTCCCTACTTGTCAGAATTCGTGCCTGATTCTGCAATCCAGGAACTCAGGGCAGTCTGGGCTAGCAGGGGAGGGGTTGAGAGGGGAGCGGGCGTCTCACATTGCCGCAGCGCATTCCTTGATTTGGCCAAATCCAGGACCCGCAAGGCCTGGGGGCAGCTGGACCCCAAGGGCTGCATCCCTGTTGCCACGAGAATGCCGGATCTGATTCGCCCTGCCCCTCCCCCGCATAGCGAATTAATTTTACAAACATTCGCAATGTGGGAGCAACTCCAGCACGGCCTTTCCCAGCCGTCGCCTGCCCGTGCAGTCCCCAGATGCTTGGGCATGCTGAGGCGTCCGCCCTCAGGCTGAGACCCCACTGAGGAGCTCCAGGCTCCCACAGCCCAGCCTGCTCAGGATGACATAGGAACCTGGGCTCGGTGCTGGCTCCTTCTTGTCATTCCACAGCCAGGGCCTGGTGCCCCTCCAAGCACTGTCTCCCTTTCAGGAAACTCTCTGGGGCCGGAGCAGGGCACCCCATTTGATGCCAGGGCTCGATTCGAGCATCCCGACATCTTGGCTTTGCCTGTGAGTGTGGCCGAGTTTCCCAGAGTTCTGGCGTCCTCCTCTTCAGCCTGACACCTCCACTTTCCCTCTTCAGAAAGCCTGTAAGCCCCTGAGACCTGCCTCCCAAGACAGACCAGGCGGACCCCGCTTGCAGCTTTCTCGTGGTGGGTCCTGCTGGCCTGGGGAGGCATATGATGACTGGGACAGGCACCGGGCCCAGTGTGCCCTCCTGGCTCCTGGGAATCGCAGGTGTTTGCTGTTGCTCCCAGCTTGAAATAGCCCAGCGGTTCCCTCAGCCTGAGGCTTCAGGTCCACCAGTGGGACTTGGAGGAGACAGATCGGCTCTAGGACTAGAACCAGAGGCACGGGCCGAGCGTGGACCTGGGAAGCCAGAATGCCCACACCCAGCCGGTCTCCTGCCGGGACTCCTGCCCCAGGTCTCCATGACGAGGAGCAAGGCTGCTGGCTTCAGTACCCGTGCTACCCTCGGGCACAGCCTGCCATGTGGCCGGGCCCCGGCTGGCGCCTTCTTCCTCCCCGCACACAGTGGGTCCCCGCCACATGCACACCCTGCTGCTCCCTCAGCTGGCTTTGTAAACATGCCGAGGCCCCAAGCCCAGGGGTCCGTGGCCGGATCCGTGGGGGGAGAACCAGACGGGACCCCCCTCGGGGCTGCCAATTGGTGCCTGGAGATTCCAGGCACGGCAGCCCCAGCTTTGCCCCCAGATGGTGGACGGGGAAAGTCACTGATTAACCTGGGCCCAGCCTGGGCAGCATTTCAGACGGGGGAGCCAGGCTGAACCGAGCCCACCTACACACCCGGGGTCCCTGAGGGGTGCCGCCTCTGCCTCCCTGGCCTCCGTTGGCCTGAACTTGTAGTGGGTGCTCCTGCTCTCTCAAAGGCCTCGGTCATGGGCAAGCCCTATTGTGTGGGAGCCGGGAGTGGTCAGGAGATAGCACGGAACACAGCCGTCTGTGCCCTGCCCGTGGGGACCTCGACGCCTGGCAGAGGTGCCCAGCGTCGGGGCTGAGATTTCCCACATGGGGTGTGGAAACTTTTCAGAATGACTTGGTTGGCCTGTTGACACGGCCCATAGCCTGTGAGGCGGCCGCAGGGCCGTGAGGAGTGGGGACGGCGGCTGCCCCTCCTCTTCCCACTTCTGTTAATAGTTGAGCTGGGTGCTGCCCGCTCCCCTGCATGGGGGTCACCTCGCTCTGCTGGCACCTGACCCTGGGAGCCCCTGCGTGGCTGGACGTCCGCCCAGTCTTTGCGGGTAATCCAAGGTCAGCTGCAAGAGCCAGGGCCTGCTGTGACAGTTCCCGACCCCTCAGGCCCTACGTTAGAATTTCCCGTCTGAAAACTGTGCGTCCCGTGTCCATGTGCAGGTCGGCCAGTGCACGGTGACCGACGATTGGCCTTACGGACATCTGTTGACATTGGGGCTGAGGGCCGGGTTTAGGCATGTGGCAACAGGTGCATGGGGCTGGGTGGGAGGTGACATGGGCGAGCTCCCCTCTACCCACTCCTGGCCGCCACCCCATGTGTGCGGCTCTCATCTCCCCTTGGGCCCGCAGGGCACGGCCTCCGTCCTGCAGCGCAGGTCTCCCAACGAGGAGTATGTGGAGGTAGGACGTCTCGGACCCTCGGACTACTTTGGTAAGCATCCCTGCCTCAAACAAGTCCTCAAGTGGGGCTTCTCGGGATGGACCAAGGTAGGGGGCTGTGACAGAAGGCCTGGTCCAGCCCCATCTGGGCCCTGGCAGGGACCAGTCCTGGCCATGACTGAGGGTGGGACTGGCACATCACCCTTGGCATTCTACATATGTAGGGGGTAGGTGCTGAGGGAGACCTGGCCATTCCCATAGCTGGGGCCCAAGGGCAGCCTAGGCCACACCCACAGTGCCAGCTACCCTTGGGGCTAGGGGGGCCCAGGCCTGGTTCGATCTGAACTCAATTAAGCAGTGAAGAAGCTGCCCTGGGCGTCCAGGGGACCAGGGTCTCCCTGACTGGAAACACCAAGCTCCTGGCCGCCTGCCCTCCATCCAGTGGCCATGTCCCTCCCACCGCGACCTCGGGTGCCTCTGCCGGCTCCTGGGAGCGCGCTCTCTCTCTCTCTCTCTCTGCCTCCCCTGCCCACCCAGGGGAGATTGCTCTGCTGCTGAACCGGCCACGTGCGGCCACCGTGGTGGCCCGAGGGCCGCTCAAATGCGTGAAGCTGGACCGGCCACGCTTCGAGCGCGTGCTGGGGCCCTGCTCCGACATTCTCAAGAGAAACATCCAGCGCTACAACAGCTTCATCTCCCTCACGGTCTGAGCCGCGCCTGCTGCCCGCGCTCCCGACGCCCCCGCGCGCGTGGCCGGCAAAGGCCAGCGAGTGAAGCCCGGCCCGCGTCTCTCTGGGGACGGAGGCCATCTGTGTCCCCTCCCCCCCCCTGCTGCCACCGGAAGGACCCTCCCCGCAGCCCCCGTGACTCCACATGGACTGTGCCCCAGAACCGTGGGCCTGGGGCTCCCTGCCCCTGAGTGGATGGCTGCATGGCAGGCCTCCAGTGGCCTGGGCTGTGGCCACAGCAGCGAGAGCAGCCGCCGGGTGCCCCTGCTCCTCCGTGGCCTTTTTGGAAAGTCTGTGCCTGGGTAGGCGGGGCTGCCTGATGGAATCTTGGGAACAAGGCTCCTGATTGGCCAGGTGCCCCACACAGGAAGGACGCAGCTGAGACAGACTTGGTAACCCCTACAACAGCCATGTTTGTGGGGACTGCAGGAGGTGTCCGCTTCCCTGTGTGCAAAGCGGTTTCCTGGTGACCCGGGGAGGGTCCCAACACCCTTGGTAAATTTGGGGGGTCGGAGCCCTAAGCTCTCCCCGACACTTTTGCCGCCCAGTCCTGGGGGACCCAGGCAGCACTGTCCCCCATGCTGTGAAGAAACCTGGAGCCAAAGGAACTCCCAGGCCCCCAAGGTGCCCCTGTGCCAACTCTGTGCCATTCCCTGGAGCCTGGCCCCCCAGCCTGGCTCCGAGCCCTCTGCCATGCTCCCCGCCCCCTTTGCCTACGGCTGTGGCCTTGTGTACCCACAGTTAATGCATGCGCATTAAACGTGATGAGCACCCTGCCCCTAGGGGAGCCTGCTGGCTACAGTTTTTTGTGGGCGGGGCTTTGCCCAGGGTGGCGGGTTGGGAAACACTGTTCATGGCTGCTGGTGCAACTGTCGGTGCTATTGGCCTCCAGAACCTTCTGACTTGTCAAGCTGGAGTCTGCCCTCCCTGGGCCCACCCTCCCCAGTACCTGTGCAGCCCCTCAGTGTGTCCTGGACAGCCTCTGTTGGCACCTCGGTGGGGAAGCCACTGTACCCTGGCTCGGCCGAGAGGGCGGGGCCTTGTCCCCTTAGGGCCCTGACATGGACACAGAGACGTGAGGCTTCTCTGGTGGTGTTGTGGGGGTGAGACCAGAGTGAGGCCCGTGAACCCCAGACTCAGCGGCAGAGCAATGAGGGAATTGGAGGAGGGGAGCTGAGGCTCAGGCCAGACGAGTCAGAGGTGGGTGGGGACGGTGGGGTGGACATCTCAACTGTGGACGCCAGCCTGCAGAGCATGGCCGGAGCAGGGAGGCCTTAGGGACCTGAGCATGAGGTTGGTCAACATGTGACTGTGTGCCCCAGGCTGGAGGCTTTGTGGAGACAACAGTGGGGAGGTGGGCTCCTCCAGGACGACAGGAGCTGGTCCTGACTGCCTCTGGTGGCTGCCCTTGGCCGGGCTCCTTCAGCCCAGAGACGAGCCTGGCCACCCCTTGGCTGGCATGGGGTGCTGAGTCACCAATGGTGGTGACTCATGTGGAGATCAGGCCTTGGTAGCCACAATGGGAGACGCTGGCGGGTCCAGGATGGGGCTGGCGGCTGTGTGTCTGGGGGTGTTGAGGACTGGGATCTCAGACCCCAGGGGCCACCCCATGGTGGAGGTCCAGGGTTGCCTCTGAGACGTGGACGCTATTAGGCCCTGGGGTCTGCCCTCGCTTGTCCCAGCCATTGCCACTGCCCATTGGCCATACTGGCTTTTCCTGCTAGCTCTCAACTCCCGAGATGTAACCAGATCACAAGCTGGTAACTTGCCTCTTGTCCTGGGTCTGGCTTCTCCCAGCCACTGTCTGGCATGGCCTAGCCTGGTGTGGTCTCATGCGGCCTGGTCTGATCTGGTCTGGCTTAGCTTCCTCTGGTCTGGTCTAGGGAGGCGTCAGGTAACCGTCACTTTGGGCCTGGAGACCCGAGGCTGTGTGCAGGGGATTCCAAGTCTTCATGTGGGATTTGCCCTCAGCTAGGCAGAGAGTGGTGGTCTTGGCCCAGAACTCAGTGACAGTGGTGACTCAGCAGCTCAGCTGGCCCCACTGGCCTCTGCCTCCTCTCCTGGCCCTGGTCCTGCAGCTCAGCTGGCCCCACTGACCTCTGCCTCTTCTGGCCCTGGTCCTGCAAGTTCTCAGCGTCCTGAATTTCAGGTGTTTCTTTAGTGGCATGGGTATGACAGCGCCTGCCCCTGGGCATCAGGTGTGACCCAAGGATGTGGGGCTGTCTCTGCGTGGACCAGGCAGAGCAAGAGTGACCATGAAAGGGTGGCTTCACGAAACACATGTCAGGGAGCCTGCCTTGGCCCTGCAGAGGGTGGGCAGCTCTGTGAGGGACCTTGGCATAGCCCAAGCACAGACCAGAGAGGAGCTCGGAGCAGGGACCACAACAGGACACCACCATGGGTGGTCACGCCTCCTGGGTGCCCCTGGCCATGCCTGCGGGCCAATACAGAAAGCCTGGGTGAGGGCTGGCAGTGTGGTGCAGTGGGCAGCACGGTCACCGGGGTTCTCGGCTGAACTGCCGACTGGGTGGATGTACACAGCTGGTGAGCAGGGAAGCATGGAGGAGCCACTGCAGTGGACAGGTGGGACAGGAGGGCTACAGCCCCCTGAGGAGCCTTGCATGGGTATTCAGGTAGGAAAGGTTGAGCCCCCTGGTTGCCCCTTCCACCAGGAAGACACAAGGGGAGCACGGCCCTCACCCAGGCTTTCTGAGCACGGCAGGGAAAGGCTTGACCTGCAGCGCCTGTATCCCACACAGGCACTGGTTCAGCTCCCAGCTGCTTCACTTTGGACTCAGCTCTCTGCTGATGGCCTGGGAGAGCAGCAGAGGATGGGCCAAGTGTTGGGCCTCTGCGCCCATGTGGGAGACCTGGCTGGAGCTCCAGGCTGCTGGGTTCAACCTGGCCAAGTCCGGGCCATCGCAGCCAGCAGATGCAAGATCTCTCTCCTCTTCCATCCCCCAACTCTGACTTTTTTTTTTAAATAAAATTTAAAAATGTAATACAAAGCCAAGACAGAGGAGAGGTCGCAGGCAGCCCTCTCTCCTGCTCCCTTTCCTAGAACCTCGGAGGTGAGGCACTGGGGAGACTGGGCAGCCCCACCTTCTGCTCAGGAAGTGGTGGTGGGCGGGCTGAGGGTGGCAAGTGGCTCCCTAGTGACCGTGCAGCCAGAGGTCTGGCCAGAGCCGCCTTGGGGAACCTGCGATGAGGAGAAGCGCTCTGCTGCGGCGGCCCCCAACACTGCCTCCTCGAAGCTCTCATATTGCTCTCTGGACCCTCGTGGACCTGGCCACTCCACTCTGTCTGCTCACCGGCTAGCCTCCCAAGGCCTGTTTGTCCTCAAGGGTTTGCTATGTCAGCAGCAGAAAACCGGTCACCAGAGGCGTACACATTTATCTCAGAACATTCTAGAAAGAGACAGAGCCCGTACATGGTCCTGGGCCACCTGCCCACCCACTCCTAGGCCCCATAGCCTCTTGGATGCCCAGGGACCCTAGAAGCTCTTGGCAGCCTGGTTCCATCACCCCTGGGAGGAACCACAGGTGTGGGATGGCAATGGGGTTTGCTGCCTGGGTGGAGAGCCAGATGCTTTGTTGTCAAACTCATAGAGGGTGGTGTCCGTACCCCTGGCCCCCCTCTGAGGGCGGTAGCTGGGTGCTGGCAGGAGTCTGAACCCTGTGGTGGGGGCTGTGAGGTCCCCAGGTTACTGGGGTCAGGATGGAGAACAGTTGGCCTTTGGGGCTGCCCCGGTGTGTCATGCTAGCTTTGTCCGTGGCTGTTGGGTGAGACTGTGGTGGTTCTTGATGTGGCCAGGACTGAGGAGGTAGCGTGGGAGGGGAGGGGTGTCATGTGGCTGACAGGTCATGTGAGTGACTGGTGACATGCGGCTGATACTTGCCTTGCATACACATGAGCTGGCTCAGGACCGCTGTGGGCACTCAGCCTTCCCTGGCCAGGACCCTGGGCCACAAGAGCGTCCTCAGCTGTCCTCCTACTCCAGAGCATAGCCACCATGGGGTTGGCGGCAGAGACAGTAGCTGGGACCTGGCCTCCCAGGTCCTCGTCTGTCCATCAGTGTGGACGGACTTTGTAGCCCTTGCAGCTGGAGGCAGACAGCTGAGCAGGTTAGGCTTCTAGTCTGGTGCATGTTGTCTGCCTTCATCTTCCGGAAGGCTCCTTGAGGGTGGGGCTGAGCGGGTCACTGCTGTGCCTCTCCAGAGCAGAATGGAAGGAGCCTGTCCGTGCGAGGGGCAGTGAGTAGAGAGGAGGCTGCAGGGATGAGGCTGCAGGCAGAGGAGCTGAAGGGAAGATGGGGGGAGAGGAGGAGGAGCCTGGAAGGGGGATGGGGGAGAGACGCACGGGGCTTGGGGGTAGGTGGGAGGGAAGCTGGGGAAGGCGGTGGGAGCTGCTGACACCCCAGCCTTCCAAGCAGCAGCGTCTGTGTGGGTGTTCCTTCTGGATTTCCTGGGGGTGAGCGGTGTGCTCGGCTCAGGGGTGGAGTTACTCCAGCTCACCAGCACCTGCTGAGTGTCACACGCCTTCCCATGAGAGCCACAACTAGGCCACATGTGGACCCCACGCCATACCACAGCCAAGCTGTGGCAGCATCTGAGCAGCCCCAAGGGGGCAGCCACTTCTGCCTCCTGATCCCCTGGCCAAGAGAGGCCAACAGATATCCAGCAGGTGGGGGCTTGGGCACTTCCAGGGCCAGCGGTGCAGGGCTCCTGACTTGGTGCAGGTCTCAGGCAGGGGGCCCCATACCCCCACCAACACACACACACACACACAGTGCTCCCCTGGCCAGGGCCTGAAGAACAGAGCAAGTCTGGTGCTGGGGAAGACGCCCCCTCCTGGCTGGCCCTGAGGTGGTCACCCGCACCCTTGAGGCCTAGGGCTGAGAGTGCACCTTCCTTTTGCTGCCTAGTCCACCTGTAGCTGCCGGGGAGTGGGATGTTGGGTGGCCACTGTGTGCCTCCGCCTGTGGGTGGGTCCTGTCAGCCAGTCCTTCCTCTCTGCCTGACCCTGTGCTGCTCCCTGGCTCATGGCCTGCCTGTAAATGGCCTGCACTCGGCTGTTCCTTTGGCCCCTGGACATGGTGACTGCTGGGGTACTTCTGCTCTTCCTACCACTTCCCAGGTGGAGAAGCTGAGGCTGAGACCAGGTCAAGGAAGAGGCAACCACCAGGAGGCCACTGAGCAGTGCCCCCATCCTCTGGACAAGAGATCTGTT